AAACTCCATGGAAGTCAACTTGAAAGAACGTTGTAACTCATTGTGGATTTATAGTATGATCGATCTTAGAATAGTGAGATTATTAGTCGGTCATAGGTAGCACAAGACAATTCAATCGGAGATACACGCATTAAAATCGGGAGCCTCTTTGTTTGAAGGGGTCTGTTAATTCCTATCTGCGCAAAGGTCTACCTCTTTATATCCAAACCCTATCATGACTGGCATTAGACGAGCAGAATGTGCTGACCATCTTTCTTCATTATATACGTCCAATCATGGTTCGGACGTTCTGTTTCTCTCAACCGCCAGCATTCTTCCATGATATTCAAAGCATCGAGGCAGGTCCTGTGTGTTACATGTGGTGAAGACATAAGAGCCCGGAATTTCTGCTCTTGCTCTTCAACTGCTAAACAGCCAGAGATACAGTACGGCCAGACCACGTGTTGTAATAACTTCGAGTCTGATAAACTCTGAAGAGCGTCTAATGTTTTGGACACGCTTTCCTTGATATCTGGAATCTCAGGATAAGCACCGGAGATGACTACATGAAGATAGGTTATGGCCGAGAGTGCAAAGATTCTCGTAATCTCGGTTATGCTATAGTCTGATGGCAGGTAACCACTGGCTGGAGCTCTTGTCGAACGGGCATCTTCGAGACTAGCGAGTCTTCCCAGTAGGCACTCCTCGATCTGACGACCACGTTTCGTGAATTCGACCAGGCTTAACCTATGAGCTCTTTCCTCTTTCCTTTTCCAATTGTCTAAGAATGAAATCTCGAAAATCAAGACCATGACCCAGTTTCTGCAGCCTGTCAAGTCAGCCAAGTTGATCTCATCCGAATCTAACAGGAGCTTGTGATTCACTGTCAAAAGTTGACTTGACCGAGTTGAGGCACAAGATACAATGTCCATGTAAATGAATAAGCCCAGAAGAAAGCTGATTGAGGTATCGGGATGCAAAATTGGCCTTTCTTGCTCTTTGCCTATATGATCTTTCCTTGCTGCGATTGATCTTGTCTGTGCTTGCTCAAGTGGTGGAAGCATTGTATTCGCTCCCCTAAGGTGCATTTGCCAATTATGTCTGCAACCATTGGATGACTGCTTTATGAACTGATTAGCATAAGAAAATCAATATAGAGACCAACAGGAGCGTACTTCATAGAATAAAAGATGGACGATGGTCGTAAGCACCTCGATATTGTAGGTAAGACCTAGGTTCCCGGTCCATGTGGAGGATAGCACAAGGCTGGATTGCAATTCTCCGAGAGCCAGATCATAGTATCCACGCATTGATCGTGCGGAATAAGAGCTGCTATGCCGAGTTGGGGTTGAGTAATGATATTCACTCAAAGCGAGAGCTGCATGATATGCTTATTTTACCCGCTTTAAGATTGAGAACAACCAACCACGCCCTTGCCGGTTAGACGGGAAGTAAAAAGGACAATAAATGTAGAAAACATGATCCAAGTAGTACATGAATAGATTGTCTTCAAAGTTTCCACGTAAAATTGGATTGCTCAGGCTGGCCGGCTGAGAAACAAGATCAATCAAACCTAACCTCGAACCCGTGTGGAAAGAAAGCGACCAGTCTGCCCCACTGTGGTTTACAGACAACTCAGATGGGTATTTCCCACCCATCATCCAGTCGGGCAACGAAACCATAGGACCCGAGTTTGTTTCGGGTTGGAAACCTGGTCTCGAGATATCGATAGGATTTGGGGCATTACTTCTTGGCGTGACTGGTGTTGTGCTCGTTGATAGTGTCTCAGAAGTGGGGGAGGAGCATTGATCATACTTGGTCATGCAGATTGTTTGGTCGCAGAAGAGTTCCGATGAGAGATGGGTTCTGTCAGGCTCTCCACACCATATCGCTTCGTTGGAGATACGCGAACTTCCGTCTCCCCCGAGAAGCTGAAAATTGCGTTCCGACATAAGCTCATTTTGGATGAAAGTGTCTTGTGTTCGGGATGAAGGATGAAGTTGCGAGGACGTGGCGATACTTTTAGCGACCAACGTGTCCAATTCAGGTTCGGTGTTCCCTGATATGCTGTGTGATTGATTCTCGCGCATGGCTTGTTTGATCCGGGCGATGATCTGTGTCTTGTAGCGTGCCTGTTCCCTCTGCATATCTCCCCTGTCCATCCAATGAGGCTTGGGCCCATAGCCGTCACAAATTATTCGAAGAGAAGTGCATCGAGCACATGAAGGGTGATTCTCGTCGCATTTCTTTTTCCGTAGTCGACAGGTCCAACAGCCTTGAGTGCTTCTACTGGCTAACTTCCGAGGCATGTTAGCATTGACTTGGATGCTAACGACTCTGCAGCTTCCCCGAGAAACAATAACTTTAGGGTTTCTCCTTTTTCTTACCTGTCAGGAGGCGGCGAACATTCGCAATTTAGTGGTTTCACCGTAGGCGTGCGATAGCACGAGCTTCACTCGACCGTGCCGTAATGGTGCATTTAATGTACAGCCAACAACGTATCGGCTGCAACATTTGCGCACGCGGTATGGAACCAATTCGACCAATATCGTAGTAGTCGGCCCTTTGTCAGATGTCAATCCTTGCCAAATATATGTGACGAGAGACATGTAATTCAGGGATTTGACGTCATGTATTCTCGCCTTCTAGCGTCTAGGCAATGGCCTTGTACTTTAGTTACAATCTCACCGTCTCAAGTTATCTACATTTACCTCTGTTGCTGGTAATGATGACAACGGGATTGTGAGATACTCTTTGAAAAAGGCGTGGATCTGGAATTTGGCGCTATGAGCCGCCACCGGAGTGATCGCTCATACTCACACATGCTTAACTTCGCGCGGCATAGAAACTTTGAATGGCTCTAATCAACACCTATCGTGTCTTGGCGATGCTTGCCCGTCGACGTATTTCGCGATGTCGAAGGTCCCGAGCGCCGACTCAAACAGGCAAAGCTCTATGCTAGAGCGATCCAGAAGCTTGAGGATGCATGGCACTCAACCACATCCTATTTCCAATAAACAAAACGTATTGGGCGAGTAATCCCAATCAATGTAGGACAAGAAACCTCCAAGATACAAAGCAGACAACGTTCTGTTGGGAAGCTGGAGCGCGAGTCTGACGAGAGGTATGATTGTGCTCTCTCCACGGTCGCATTTCTTGAAGGAGCCTCAGCGGAATTTTCCCCCTTGCGTTGGCAATCATCAAATATTCTGCGTCGCAATTGATGTGGTAGGGCCCTGCTGAAGGTCGCGATCAATGGAATTCGCGGCGGCACATCCCGAGTGGTGCCCACCAGCCATCACAGCTACAACGCAATGCATTCATGCTTCTTGACCACGTGCCCCAGAAAGCTTGAGCTGGCGATCGTTGGGCAAATGTCTTTCTGATATCGCGCAAGCGTCATTTTGCATTGATCAGGCGTGAGGGAGATGTAAGACCAGGTTGAAAGCCTATGCCCAGCAAGGGCATTTTGGTGCGATTTCTATGACACACCAACGGGAAGCAGTGTTTCCTGGATTACCCGGTATAGGGGTGACCCAAATGGGCGAGCACTCGGTAAAAGACTCGACTGAGTCAAGAGTCCCCTTTAGATGCCTCTTTTCATTTGATAACGCATCATCTTCTAGGTGTTGTAGCCTAAAGCTGCTCCTAGGAGCAGCAAATGGCTTTGTACTTAGTACGCCTACTTCTTTGACATAGTGTTCCAGCGCCCTGATACCCTAAAACGGCATCCAGTTAGTTTTCTAAGGTGTAGCATCACAGGACTCTTAGGCTCTCAAACAGCATTTGATCTAAATGACATGCCGTAACGTATACAATGTCGTATCATAGAGAAGGCACCAAAAAGGGTGTTGTGGATATATCATTGAAAACTCACCAAAAGGGGCGTAGTGGGTATATTATAGATATCCTACCTAAATCAATGTTGTGAGTATGTCCTTAGAATTACACCTAAAAGAGCAATGTGAGTATATCATTGAAAAGTCACTAGAAGTAGTGTAGTGGTTATATCATAGAAATGCGACCTATACTAGTGTAGTGAGTATATCATCAAAAATGCACCTAAAGTGTGTTGTGGTTATATCATACAGAACTCACCTAAACTAGCTTAGTGGGTATATTACAAAGATCTTACCAAACATCCTTTGTGGGTATATCATAAGGATTGCCCCTAATTATGCTTTGTGGGTATGACTTAGAATTCTCATCAAGATTAGTGTTGTGGCGTATCATGGACACCGCCTCAATGGCTACTCTGTGCAGCTTTCGAGACTATCGGTAACCCTCTGTCGCCAGGCATCGCTTGTCGGCAGCGTCGGGGCGGACTGACTAAGCGTTCGAAGGGATAGCTCGTTAGGCTCTATGTCAGCACTAGAATTAAGTCCGACGTCCGATCGCGAAGGGTGGCCCGAAAACAAGACTTACAGGCAACACATCTAACTTGACCGAGACCAACGTATTGTACATCTCGTTGAGATCGTAGAGATTTGCAATTCACTCTCTTAGGATGATTTCTGTCGGACTTTTAGGAGCCACTGGCTATATGGGTGCCTCCTTTTGCGCTGGGCTGCTCAAAGCTCATTGTGCTGGCGAGCTCAAGCTCATCGTCCTCCACCAACCTCAATCTAAGCTCTCCAAGTACCCTAAGGAAGTCGAAAAACGCGAGATTGATCTCGAAAATGACAGCATTAGCAAGATTTCTGACACAGTAAAAGACTTGCACGTCGTCATGCAAGTAATACGAGCAAACAATACCTGATAACTGCTGCTAACATCCTGCGATCAGGTCCGCCGTACCGTTTCGAGCTTTCGAAGCCCAATTGAAGCTGCTTGACGCATTGACGCATTCATCTGAGCTTGTGACTTTCTTTCCTTCGGAATATGCGACACCGTATTCGAAAGATAGTCTGGAAAACCGCTTTCTCGGCTTGTCTAGACAAAAGCTTAAGGTGATAGAATATGCCAAAGAGAAAAGAGTGCCCGTGACGAAGCTGGCCAACGCCACGACGCCTGAGCTCCTGATGGCGTTTCCGTAAGCCACCAGACATTGATTTCGCATTTACTGTCTACGGAATAACTTATTGAATGCGATTGACAGGCCGTTTTCGTCCTATGACCCTCGTGCAAACAAACTTGAGCTCTACCATCCCACCGGCAGCGGCACACGAGGTTTGACGTGAGTTATAGAAAAGGTACTATGTATCTCATCACAATGTTTACACTGATATCCAATAGTTCAAAGGAGTTCTCAGGTGGTGCCATTGTCCATCTCCTGACAAAGCGCCTCCAAGACCTACCAAACAAGGACTTCTCGCTTGTTGAGATCTCATTTTCATCTGATGATCTTGTCTCTTCTTTCACCAAAGCTCACAACGGTAAAGCGCCGGAAATTGTTCGTTATTCTGAGGAGGACTACCAGCGCGATATGAACAAGGATTTTCTCTCGGCAATGGGAGCAGCGAGAATCAAAAGTTTGGTCGAGGGCACAGAATGGCCAGGCGAGGTGATCTCGGACTTTGACGGCTGGGAGAAAAAGGATTTGGAGCACTACGTTCGCGAGTGTATGGAAGCATCGCCACCTGAGCTTCTGCGTTCGAGAGTGGCTGAGCTGACAAAGCCAAAGAAGTAGCGACAAAGGGACTGTGAGTTGTGTCAAGTTTCTCGACTACGTAGTCAAGAATTCACCGCCATCTTGAGGGTGTTCATGCTGAGACAAACTTCATGTTGGTTCGTGACACGCTGATGAGAAGATAGCCAACAATGAAGCGGATCAGTTCGAAATAATCAACTGTTGTCTGCTGTCTATGTCTTTGACGAGATGTATCTAATTTGATCTGGTATAGTTTCTCGCTTTTCTTCTTTAAACAAGAATCTTTTCAGCTTCAATAGTCTGTCAGTTTACCCTTTATAAATGTACCCTTCCCTGTATCGAGATTTATACTGTTTTATCCAATCTAACCACTTTCGGCCATCATGCTCACTGTTACGGAGCAACAGTGGGACATTCAGTAGCACTATCAAGCCGCCTAAAGGACACCGTGATTTAGTACATATCCATCCCACTGTCCGCTCTAGTAAAATCATTCTTCCACACATATCATAGGTCCTGCACTGACCTAAATGGCATCCTTAGGAGGATGTGGCCGGTTACCGACGACAATAGAATGAAGGCTCGATCGCACGCACTACTATCTATAGTATGTAATGGTATAATCACATCTAATCAATTACTTGAGAAGAATTCGTGCAATGTCTTGACAAACAAATCTGGGTTGTCAAGATTGACAACATGAGTGGCATCTACCTTCAAAAATTTGCCACGCTGCAAAAATGACATTGCCTGATCAGCGTCATCTTTACTCATGGCCCCATTCAGTATGCCGTCAGATTCAATAGTGAAGTTCGCATGCATCAGCAAGACCGGGCACTGGATCTTGGCCAGAGCTGCTGCATGCTGGAAGTCTTTGTTCCAGCTTCCGTCGTAAAAGGCCGCCCCGAAACGCGGATCATACTGGTCCAGGCCTCGTAGCAACATCCGCACAGTCTCGTTCTTTATAAGACGCAATTCCACTGGATCATTAGGCGCGCTGCGTTTACGAGCCTTGGCAGCCTGGGTTAGGATGAAGGGCACGCCAGGTCCCACATGTTTTGTGAAAAAGGCAGAATTGCCTTTGATCCAATATAACAGAAAGTCATCAGGATGATCCTGCGTCGCAGCTGTATAGCTTGTCATGAACGCTCGATAAGCAATTGTTTGCTTGATTCGGGGGTATTCTGCCGAAAAGAGCGGCGGATCCTCTAGCAGCACTGCTTTGATTTGTTGAGGTCGGTTCGAAGCCAGCCAGGTTGCAAGTAGGCCGCCAGAAGAGTTTCCTGTGATGTACACGGGCCGACCGATATGCTGAGTGATGAAATCGCTAAGGTCGGTGCCGATCTGATTGGCGGTCATTGGATATTTCGGAGGAGTGACGGTCATGCCGTGGCCAGGATAGTCGATGTCAAAGACATGATAGGATTTGGAGAGTTCTGGCAGCACGCGGCTGTAGCTGAACCAGTCGAGAAGCTGGGCGTGAAGGAGGACGAGTGGTGGCCCATTGTCGGGGCCTTCAGCATAAGTTAGTGTGATGGCATTGACCTGGGCGGTCTTCTCGACATAGCCAGCCGCGTGCACTTTCGCGTGGAAGGGATCCACAAACGGCCGTCTTTTGAACGGCTTGATGATTCTTTTGGCCGTCGCGCGGAAGACATGCTTCGTGTTGCCTGTCATTGGCTTAGTCGCACATGTATGTGACTTGCGGACCTCTGGCTATTCCTTGATCCCGAGGACTAATCACCCTGCATGTTTTTGCTGATTAGGTATAGTAAGCATCCGAAGATTGCCGGTAACCGTCGTTAAAAGCTTAAGTAAAACAAAGCGCGTTTTTCTGCTGTGCCACAGGAGCGGAGGTGACGTAAGCCAGCAATATGGTTCTACCGCGGAGGAATTGCCTGCCAGATTGACTTCGAAATAATAACCTATGTCATAAGTCAAGTGAAGACTGTTTTACGGATTCGCGTTTTACAGGCTTCTACATACGTTTTCGTCCTCCATTAGTCCGCTATATGGTATCAATGAACCCCTATAGCCTCCTTCGATTCTTAGTCAAGCCAATCGGACTGATGATACGGGGCGTGCGGGAGCTTGGCACTAGATATCGAAAGTAGAACGGCGTCACCAAAGTATTGAGTCAAGAACATTGGCAAATAGTCAAAGAAAAAGATAGAATATAACGATGGCTCAAACTGTATCATCGTCGCACACTTGTGCTCATCAAGGCGGACCCACATGGTCGAAAAGTTCACTGGTCATCGTCCTGTGCCGCCTTATAAACAGGCTCGCCCCGTTTTAGTGGTCAGTGCGGCTTATTCTCATTTCCTCTAGAACAATTTGACGTCAAATCCAATGTAGGCACTTTTCTCTTGGATTGATTCACGGTTTTCACAGTCTTCACAGTCTTCACGGCCTTTATGGATAGCACAATGGATCACCTCAGCTACGATGTTCAGACTGCTATCATATTGGGAGTAGTGTCAACGGGATGTGTCGCCCTAACAGCTTCAGCTTTGGTCTTCTGCCCTAAAAATGCCCTTGGTCTACGAATGGTCCTCGTGGCTGCTCTGGCAACTTTGACTCGATATCTCGTTCGCACCTTGCTGGAACGGGTGGACAATACTGCCTGGAGTTCTATCTTTTCTGGGTGTATTGGATTCGAGATCCTGAGTGCTATCGAGATGATCCTTATCGCACGCGTTGACGCGCATGATCTATCCGCTGGAGACCGACACGTGGGAATCTTCGGTCTTCTGTCGAGGGCTGTGGCTCTCACCGTCAATCCCCGTCGAGTTGGAACACAGTGGCAGATCAAGGATGTACCTACAGTAGTACCGCAGTCTCGAGCAAGATTTATCATATCCGGCCTCTTTTGGATTACTCTCGCATACATGACGATAGAGATGTCTGAAAACCAACCACCACCCGAGCCTCATCTCATTGCTCCAGAAAAGGAATCCTTGACCGGGCTTGGCAACCTCACTGTGGAAGATATTGTATTTCGAGTTGTCATAACCTTCATTCATTGGGCTGCCGGTGCTATTTGTATTTACTCGATGGCGCGTGCGGTCGCAGTGCTTTCTGTCTCTACTGGTTTGAGTGAACCGGAGTCGTGGCCGCCAATTTATGGGCCTTTCAGCACCTTAACTACTGTTCGCGGCTTTTGGGGGTAAGTTGACTCGTAATGCTGCATTTAATGCTGTTGAACAAGTGCTGACTGGCTTATCGCAGGAAATTCTGGCACCAAGCTTTGAGAAAGGGAATCACCGGGATCGGGGATACCATTTCCGACTCTATCCTTTCAATCCCACGTGGAACTCTTGTATCGCGTTACACTCGCCTATTTATCCCTTTCCTTTTGTCCGGACTCATTCACCAAGCCAGCGACCTTGCGCATGGACTATCTCATAGCGACGGTACTTCAGTTAAATTCTTCTGCATGCAAGCCTTGGGGATCATGTTTGAGGACGCGGTACAAGCTGCAACAAAGCGCTTACCAATTACTTCATCTATTCGAGATGCAATTGGGTATATATGGACCCTAGCCTTCATGTCCTACACAACGCCACTGTGGTTTTATCCTAGAGCACGAAATATCGACAGCGGCCGCCTGACGCTCATTCCTTTAGCCAGCAGATTTCTGGACATGCCGAAAGCTTAGATTTTTGCAGCTCGCCTAGAGAACGTGTCGATTGGAAGCAGAGACTCCTTTAGGCGTTCAGAAGAGCACCTTTAACGTACGATACGAGGACGGACAAACCCAACAACCACGGCTCGAGAAGCCAAATCTGTCAGCCTTTTGGTGTAGGAATATTTGTACTTCTTTCAGCTCGTTTCTTTCTTACTAGTACTCAAGAGTCTTAGATGGTGCATGATAGATTTGATAGATCTTGGTTTCTCCTATTTTCTCGATTAGTCAACGTAGTAATTAAGGTATTGGAATGGGGCAGCAGTTTCTCATCACCCACAGTCCTATTAAGATATCAAATGGTCCACGAAAAAAGCATTAAGCCGCGATAAAGTGCTGGACCTATTCTTGTACTGCAAGTAATGAAAGCTTAGCGAAGCGGGTGAGCGTAAAGTAGGAATAGAATAGAATTTACCTGATAGCGTCGAGGTAACAGCTTGCTCTCCCAGCTCAAAATACTTCCGAACGATCAGCTTGGCATGAAGTGTTATATATTTGGTGGACTGCTACAAAGCATCCAATTCATTCTGGTCCGTCTCAATTCGTTAGCATAATTCACAACCGCGTGTGGTTACAAGTTAATACTGACGTCTAACCTTAACGTGATCCAAAGGCGATGACATTCCTATCGCGCGCTGTTCGTTGGCCCAGAATGACTTCGTGCTTTGCTATGAGAGAAGCTAGACCTCATCAACAATTGGTTCGTTACTTCGATGATCTTGCAAGGGTTCTCGGGTCTGTGAGCAAAAGGAGGAAAGCGCAGTGGATCATCTTGAGCCGAGTCACTTTTCATTGGTTAGTGAAACCAAGCCAAAGAATCCTTTGAGGGAACGCGCAATCCACTTTGTCTCACTCTCCACAACTCACAACTTGGACCCTCAGCGCTGTTGCTTTTATCATGATGAGACTTGACATGTTGACGACCCTTCATCTATCACACATATGATCAAACGGCGAGGCCTCATCTTGTGAATGATGATCAATACGCAACGCACAAGAACCAAGCGCTTTACAAAGCGTAGCCGCAATGGTTGCATCACTTGTAAGAAACGACACATCCGATGTGATGCAAAGCATCCTATATGGTAAGACTTGAATGTTTCTATGTGCCATCCTCTTGCCTATGCCCAGAGCTAACGCGGGAATGAACAGTTTAAACTGTGACTATAAGGGCTTTGAATGTGACTACCAACAGCAGGCAAATATCTCTTTGAGGCGGACTAGCCCCGAACTTGCACTACCTGGTGTGCAACGACCCTGGGTCGCTATGATTCGAGTACCTACCGCACGCATGGATCCATTCGATAGCCTACCAATCAAGATGCCGTTGAAGTCTCAAGAGTTATTCACTTATCGTAAGTGCTGTACACAAACTTGAATTGAGTCGACACTGAGGAGATTGTATCTCGCTAGTGGCCCGAGCTCGAGAGGATCTTTGCGCTGTTTCTACCCCAGATCCAAGGTTAGTATTGCGTCAATCAGCTCATGACTGCTTGCGTTTCAAATATTTGACGAGAGAATTAGACTTGTTCTCGCCACGCAAGACGAACATGCTTTTCGCAATATTCTACTTATTGCTGGATTGCATCACATGTGGAGAACGGGAACCCTACGTGATTATGAATTGACCTACCTTCACCATAAGATCGAGTGTATTCAAGCAGTCAGCCACTTCCTTGATCGATCCACCACTTCTTTCGACTTGACATGTATGAGACTAATTGCAACACTATGCTTAGCTGAGGTGAACAACTCCCCCATTCCTTCAGGTCAGGAGTCCTAAGATATTGACATGAGTGACAGGCCAGCCGCGGAAGTTTACAAACAGCAGAAACCCACCTCGATGCTCTGATGACCATGACAGAGATAGTGTGGGCAAAGCGAGACAGCGTCGACCATGACCAAAAGATTCAGAATGAGATCCTCGATCGATTTGTCCTTATATGCGTGCATGAGATTGCTTTACGCTTGCGAGCGACCTATCGACTACACTCCTACTCTTTTCCACAGGAGGACCCCGACGAGCAGCATGATTTAAAGGACCGCCTCCATGCTCTCTGCTTTTTGCCCAATTATATTATCACAGATGTCAATACAAAAACAGAAGTCGATGCAATGGTATCAATTGAGGGCCTGCGACCAATCACCGCCTCAAACCGAAATTACACCTTTCGAAACGTGTGTAAAGAGCCAAATTACAATTCTGTAAGCAGAACATGGGCTGTGGTCGGGGGAGAGAGGTCCATGTTGTTATCTATCTCCCAGCAAAGTTGCTCGGATACATTTCTAGACGATGAGCCTGCCCTCTCTCCAGTACTGCCTATCTCGTGGGTTGGGATGACTTTGTCAACTGGTTTTTATCTGCACGGAGTTCTAAGGAAATGGAACTTTCTTCAGGGTAGTATGCTGAACTGGTTCGGCAGTGCCCAGCAAAGACACCTGAACGCTACCAGAGCCGACCTGGCTTCAGGATTGTTGAGGCAACAGTTTTGGTTCTGGAAGCTTTTCACGGCTGCTTTCACCATTGAATGTGTCTACTTGCAGGCTCGAACCGAAGGTCGTATGGACAAGGCTATTAAAGGCGGCGAGCCAAGGCTTCAAGCATTACGTCTATGGTTCCGTGGCCGTATCAGACTTTGGCATTCAGTGACCGGGGTGTCACAGTGGGAGCAGGCAAAAGTTGCTTTAGAGGCGATAGTCTGGCCAAAGGACTTTCCCGACGATGCATTGGCAAGATTTGTTTGGGAAGAAGCGTTTGGGTCGAACAGCAAACACCAAGCAAGTGTTGGCTAGACAATGCATAACGGACCGTAAGACACACATTGAATAAGAGCCATAGTGGCGCATCTAGATGCTTGGAAATCGCCACAGTAGTCTGCTCTGGCTGAGTTCCCGCGCTAAGCGACTTGGAATATTATCTCATAAACATTATGATCAAAGCTTGACCGGTCCTATTTGAATGGCTGGGCTAGCACACATAGTACAACTTTTAGTTATTGACAAATGTTAATTTGAGCAGCATAGTGTAGTCTTATAGAATATGGTGCTTCACTACCGAAGACGACCTTCATGGCTGATCTCAAAAAGTGTATCCTCCATTTGGCCGAAACATTACGATGATAATAAACAACCTAGACTAAAGCTATTATAAATAACCGCATAGATCATTTGCTAGGTTCCAATCCGAGTCACGCTTGAAGCAGCTGACCATGTCCACATCCAGCATGTAAGCTTCATGTCGATCCAGAGATTAAAAGAAATGCGCATTGGCTATGGTATGCATATAAGCATAAATATCTTCGTCTTGAACCAACCAAGTCCAGCTCAAGACCAGATATCATACCGGTCTAAAACATTAAGTACGAAATCAGAGTTCTAGGCTCGAGCCACCGACTCATAAAAATTCCGAAATGCTGATGATTGACTACAACCCTTCGATGTGGCGCAGCTGAACACGTATCTTGTGCTGTCCGAAGCAACAATGTGCTGTAAAACTTCGACATCATTATCTGCAGTTGACCGATTGAAGTCAAGATATACATCGCTAGAGCAGTTAGTGCGAGATATTCAGCCCGCCACAGGTGCAAAACATGGGCATCTGGTCTGTGCTGTGAGTGTAGAACGGGAGTTATGACCGGTGTGGTATTTGTGGCGTCAAGGTGCATTGCATTTACGTACGCATTCACGGACAACCCGCTTAACCGGAAGCTTTCTAGGACTCTCCTTCAAAGTAGCATTTAAGTTCGCCGTCAGGTCCTTTTCTACCAAAGTCTTGTCACAGAGCAGGACTCAATATTGATCACTTCAATTATCACCCCAGGTTGAGCCACGTTGAATTCATCGCTATTTCAATTTTACTCAAGTAAAAGTCAAAGTCTTCTTCCAACATGGCCACTACCGTAGTGCCTACACCCTTTCAGGACGGCGATTGCTATAAATACCATTGGGCTCGTTACGTCGCCAAAGAGACTCTGAGAGATGATCATAAAGCATTGAAAAATCTTATATCAAATGTTCTATCATCAGATCAACACTCTCGTCAATATATGCCATCCGTGTTAGGCGACCTTTCTATCCAAGAACTTTTCGAAGAAACCAAGGGGTTAACAGGAGGTGGCGTAATTCCTCCATCCCCAGATAACTTCAACATTGGAATTGTTGGCGCTGGAGTATCAGGTCTTTTCACGGCCTTGCTATTTGATTGGCTAAACGACCATGAGAAGATCAAGGGATCACTTAAGATTGACTATGACATCTTCGAAGCTGCCGACTCGATTCGCGGCGTAGGAGGCCGTCTCTATACTCATTCATTCTCCAATGAACCTCGTGACTATTACGATGTTGGGGCCATGCGATTTCCTGACAATAAGATAATGGAAAGGTACGCCCTCCCTGGATTATTATCTAAGATTGGCTACATCAACATGTTCAACGTGGCTAAGTACCTGCACAGAACTTTCCGCCTTTTCCGATTTCTCGGACTGGAAAAGAGCAAAATTCATGGACTCCTTCCATACTACCTGGACGACGTCAATGGTGTCTGTCCGGCATATTTCAATGACATTGGCACTCGTGGGAACGCCTATGCGCAGGGTTCGCCATCGGACCCCTACAAGCTGAACAAGGACCTGCCGCCTAAGCAGCAGATACCCGCCGAGTAAGTAAGATAAGCAATGGGAGGAGGTAATTCTAACCTGACCTGGAGTTTGATCGATATCCCGCCGTCCACTCTCAGTTCCAGGGCTCTGTCGACAATCATCGATTACACTAGGACGCATCTTGACACCAGTAGAGCCCTCAGTAGCGGGACAACAGCTCCTAAAGATGAAAAAGAAATCTGGGCCACTTTGATGCAAATGGACAGCATGAGCGTGCGCCAATTCCTATCCTCGTAAGTGGCATGCCCCCCAGACTGGGCGCGCGGGACAATATTTTCAGTCCAATTGGCTGACGTGTCACTAGCACGGACAATGGCAAACTCCCAAGGGGACCAGGTTATAACTTCAACACTATCGAATGGATTGAATGCGCTACTTAGTAAGTTCAAAGTAAGTCATTGTCATACTCCAAGCTAATTTTCATTCTTAGTGGCTCGGGTTGGTTTGATCAATCGCTCGCTGAGTGGGTCCTAGAAGAATTGGACTTCAAAACCTCGACAAAAACCAATGACTGGTGGTGTGTCGACGGCGGAGCTCAGAAGATTGCAAGGCTCATGGCGCAGAAGATCAAAATCCCGACTAGGATTCAGATGAGCAGTCAGGTCCTTGGCATCAACGCCAATACTTCTCGAAGGACTCACCCAGATAAATACGTACCTATCACTATCTCGATCACCCAGAATAATGTCACAACGGAGAAGGATTATTTCACCGTCTTTAACTCAACAACCTTGGGGGCGCTAGAACGTATGAACTTGCAAAATGCAGGCCTCCAGTAAGTTTCTGTCCACTTTCCGTGTTACAAGATCGATGTGGAAATGATAGCTAACACAGTATGCTTGAAAGCTGGGGAACTAAACAGGCAATTCGCGCTCTCGGGTATGGTGCCTCTTGTAAGGTTGCGATCTATTTTAAAACCCCATGGTGGCAGCTGGCACCGTACGACATCAATCGAGGAGGCGTGGCACGAACCGACCTACCGCTCCGTGTATGCGTCTATCCTTCATATAACAACAAAGATCAGAATCTCAATCCGGATTGGGATCCCGAGAAGCCTGCGGTTCTACTTTGTTCGTATACGTGGGGCCAAGATGCCCAGCGCATCGGGTCGCTTATCTCAAAAGAGTCTCCCGTCGGAGAGGAGCAGCTTAAAAATGTCTTGTTACACAATCTAGCACTTTTACACACAAAAGATGACGGACAATACAAAGAGTTGCTAGCTCGGTTGAAGGATCGCGAATATAAAACGCATCATGCATGGGAGTATGTTGTACTCTTCTTCTTTTGTTTTTTGTTCATAATAGCACTTTCAAACTACCGAAGTGCCGCAATAACCATATTTTGACATTCAAAAGCTAATTCGATGAATGGGATTTAGTTGGTACCAGGATCAAAACATGTCAGGTGCCTTTGCCTACTTTGGACCTAGCCAATTCAGCAATATGTGGCAAGAGATTCTCAAGCCTCAGTCATTTGGACAGTTGTACCTCATCGGGGAGGCAGCCTCTGCACACCATGCATGGGTTGTGGGTGCGCTGGAAAGCGTCGTCCGGGCTACATATCTCATGTTTAAGAGCCTCCACACGGCGAATCCCACTTTCCAAGCTTATATAACAGCTATGGAACTGTTATCCAATGACTCACATGATAAGTTTCCATTCTATCCACTTCCACTTGAGATGCCGGATTCACAACCTAAAGGCTCGGAAGGGGAAGAGAGGGATAGAGCAGAGGAGTGGAGCTACGCGGATCTTGTAGCTACACTGAGTCAAGTCGAAAGCCTGTTTGATACTGATCTATTGCAGTACTGGGAGTGACTTAGTTCATCTAATATCATCATCAAGAAATAGGCCCACTCCCGAAGCATAAGGGTACGGCCAATCTTTGCCTTTGCAGGATTGAGCTTTCGCGAGTGGGATAACACGAAGATTCAGTTTGAGTTTGACGATGTGGAGTTCCTTTCAATTGCTTTCACAATGTTCAACATATTCATTAACCAAAAAAGAAATCCCAATTCATAGCTGAAATTGAGACGAAAAAGATTTAGCACTGCCCCGACAAATATATACTCCAATCACCCCCTTAGAGTGATGCTTTGGTAAAGTGACCAGCGTCAATGACCATCTCCACAACCTGTCTGGCCATTCCCCATGATAAAGCATACCCGCTTCCATTGGCCCCATATGCATGTACAATCTTCTTATCTTTGAGAGAAGATGCCTTTGGAGTCTCTGTCTCAAGTCTGAAGCCTCCCCTTCTAGCTGGACGTCTACCAACGATATCTCTGATGATCTTGAACCGACCACTTTCGCCCAATATCGGTGGGTACATTTTTGCAACTGCTTCTAGAATCTCTGCCCGAGTTTCCGGGCGAGGTTCAGTTTCCCAATCGTTAGCTTCCTTTGTTCCTCCTATCACGGTGCCACCTTCAAGAGGCCGAGGAATAATAAAATTGAAACTTCCATCGCTATTAATCTTTGTGATGGTCCTATCGCACGGGTTGGCAACAACACAAGTTTGGCCTACAATAAAACGAGTCAGGTTTCGCGCTATAGCGTTTGGAAAATCAACCGACCTCTAACTGGATAGACCAATGGATCACCAAATCCAAAGCCTGAACAGTTAACCACTACCTCAACTGAGGGTGCCAATGAAAATGCTTCTTCGATGCTCATCAAGGTTCTTCTTTTAGTGATTCCTCCTTTGATTCTAAACTTCCTAAGGAGATAAGCACAATAAACTGGCGGGTTGAGACACCATGTTCGATATTTGGCCCCAAAAGTGATTTCGTCGTCAACGAACTCGTTCTTGTCCAGTAGCCTGAACCCTTCGACATTTGCGTACCCACCCTTCAGCTTGAGATAGCCATCTGAAGGCTTGACGAGAAAGTCATATCCGTCTATGAATTTAATTCCACATCCAGGATCCTCGTTAGCTTGATCGAGCATGACCTTATATGTGACACGTGAGCACTCCTCGTGCTCAGAATCTAAGGGTGTCTCTACAGGCATAGGTCTTCCATGTGCGCCGGCCCAGGGAGAGGTATATTGTATCGATTCGTCAGACGGCCAGTCTCGAGCGACAATGAGAACAGATTTGCTTTGTCCCAGATCACTTTGAAGCTGTATTGCGGCGGTCAAACCTATGATCCCAGCCCTGGCCGTTGGTAATTATTAGCAGCAGTATCATGGTCACATTTTTCAAGAGCAGTACGAAATATAAAACTCTAGGATGAGTTAATTTGGACGAACCCAATGACAACAACTGTACTGTCCTGATACTTATTCATGATGAGAAAAGATTAGAGGCCATGTGTTATCGAAAATGCTAGCTGGAGGGGATATCCAAGATTATGAGAAGGAGGGTGTCAAGTATTGGAATTTCTCTCTTCTTGTATTCCGGCTGTGCAGTGCTATATAACGGTTGCTGGTCTACAATGCACATTACCACCGAAAATCATTTGTATATGACGAATATCGTGACAATCCGTTAGCGGATCTGCGGCGTTGTAGGCTTCTAGCTAAGCGTAGGCAAGTAGTGCCTTAGCAGTGGCACAGCTTCCGATGCAACTCCGGTTTCGGTATTCCTATTCCGATAGGGAATATAAATCCCGATAATAACCTAAGCTTACACCTCACTCCATTTCAATCACAATCATATCGGATCTCCGCCTCAGCCAGCCCTCGTCGGATCAGAGTAAACGTAGGCTGTCGACAACAAAGAAATCATGCGAGATCATCAATCTACTCCGCCGGAAATACGGGGCAGCCCAACACACATGCCTCTTCGTAAACGACCTCGGACATCACTAGCTTGCCAGCGTTGCAAATCTCGAAAGCAGAAGGTAGGTCAGCCTTGCCGGACAATGAACCTGATAGAGATTCTCGTTAACTTTTACTCTTGAATATTTTCGCAGTGCGATGGCGCACATCCAGCCTGTTCAGCATGCACTGTTAGTTCTTCGGATTGCCACTATGTCCCGTCCATAGCTCCGACACCATCAGAGCAAAAGTCTCACATCAAGGCTCTCAAAGATAGAATAGCAGAGCTAGAAAAGAGCCTAGTGCTCAGCAGAAGCTCTGCCGACGCTCAGAGTCACGGCGTACTAAAATCGACCGAAACAATCGATAACTGCTTATCTAGGATAGTTCGAGATCTTAGCTTGAATGCAAGTGGGTACAGCTATATCGGTGGCACGTCAAGCATCACCATAGCTCGCCTGCTTGAACCAGTCTTAAGTGATCATGGAGGAAGCTCTCGCACATTGACGAGTAACGACGAACTTAATAATGACCCTTTAGTGACGAGAAACTTCCCTCGGCTGGAAGCTCAGCAATCTGATATTATTCCTCTGTCAGATCCTGCGGTAGAAGCCCCTTTCCAAGCTTATATAGATTCCGTCTGTACGCAATATCCGGTTATACATTCCAGAAGACTTCGAGAGATACATGCCAGGCGACATAAGCCACATGATCTTTATGAAGTGTGTATATTGCATCTAACTTATGCAATTGGCGGTGTCACCTTAATGCTGGTACGTCAGTTTACCTTGCTGTCTTTGTTGAAGTCGATGCTTAACCGAACATAGTCTGGGTTCAAGGGTAGTCACAATTCCGACCAACACTATGAGGCTGCTATGGCACACAGAGCAAAGATCATGCGTTGTATTGACAGGAGAGCAATAAGGTATCTTGCAATGGCGTCAATGTATTGCTTACGTGCACCCAGAAATCCTGGGCCATGGTAAGCTGCTCCATTTCTCTTTTTTTCTTAAACAGAAAGAGGAAGAGGAGATGAAAAGACCAAAGAGAAACTATGAAAGACTAAAATGACAACTGTATTACAGGACAATGACAGGACTGGCAATCAAACTCTGTATATCCCTTGGACTTCATAGGAGGGCTTGCACGTCACAATTTGGCATTAGATCTGAACTGGACAAGAGACTATTTTGGACATGCTATTCACTTGATCGAGATATAACTCTCGTAATGGGACGTCCACCATCCATATGTGATCATGACATTGATACGCTGGTGCGTGTCTCCGAACTAGATTATGATTAAAGCTCACAGTTTCAAGTTACCGCTTGACGTCAACGAGGATAGTTCACAGCCAGAAGAGTTTAGCGAGGCCATGAAACAGTCATCACACACGCCCGCAAGTCCATCGTCGTCATTGACCCTCTTCATTCATATGCTACGATTAAAGAGGATCGTGTCCGAGATTCAACATACAATATATAGGGTAGACAAAGCGGTAGTGGCTCCTGATGATGCTATAAATGCGTTCATTCATCATTTACAGGATTGGCGACGTCAGATCCCTGACGATATTGTTGCTCATGACGTTCGAAATCGATACGTAAGGCGAGATATCTTATCGATATGCCAGGACGCTGACTAACGATTCGAAAGATGACCGAATATTACTCCTGTTTACGGTTTCTTTTGTTTCCTAGGATATCAGGGGAGGTTGTCGATCCACGGTTGTTGCAACTTGGAATCGAAGCATGTGTAAACATTTGCAAAACTTTCAAGCACGCACATCATGAGTCTATCTCGTCTTGCTATACTCCGATGTCTGTCATGTCGCTATTTCTTTCCGGTGAGCTCTTCGCTAAGACCTTGTGTCTAGTACGCTAACATAGATTTATAAGGCCTCACGCTCTTGTATTGCACATGGCGATTCCGAGGTGAAGCATTGACGGGAATCGTTCACGAAGCGCTTAGTGACTGTACGGTCATGCTTTACGTTATGACAGAGAGGTGGAGACCTG